TACTGCTACTGCGACTGCTACTGCTACTGCGACTGCGACTGCTACTGCTACTGCTACTGCTACCTGCTACTGCTACTGCTACTGCTACTGCTGCTACTACTACTACTACTACGACGACGACTACTACTAATAGTAATCATGATAATAATGATACTACTACGACTACTACTACTACTACTACGACGACGACGACGACGACGACGACGACGACGACAACTACGACTACTACTAATACTCATAATGATACTACTACTACATACTACGACGACGACGACTACCACTACTACTACAACTACGACGACGACGACGAGGACGACGACGACTATTTCTACTTCTTTTCTTCTACTTCTACTCCCTACTTCTACTCCTACTTCTACTTCTACAACTACAACTTCCACTTCTGCAACTGCAACTTATGTTTCTACTTCTACGTCTACTTATATTTCTACTTCTACGTCTACTTCTACTTCCACTTTTCCTCCTACTACTACTACTACGACGACGACGACTACTACTACTGTTACTACACCCTCGACGACCATCCACAACAACACCACCAGCTCAACCGAGTGGCAGGGTAGTGAACACCGAAGAGTCGCTGGCACTGTCCGAGGTCATTCTCCTGCCAGCAGTCGGGTCGTGGGTGGAGGGTTTACCGCATGTTTTGCATAACGCTTGATAGTGTGTTAATTTGGCATTCTCTGAGGTATTCTGCGCCAGCTGTATGCTCTTGTGCTAACAGGCTTCGGATGGTTTGGCATTGCAGTTGCCTCTCGCACAAATGGCCAGAACAGCAGGCGCGTAAGTGGGGCGATGCTCAGGACAAAATCATTATGAGTATGCTGACGGACTTTGGGATCCAGCATGAAGACATGCGAGGGTTACCATTCTGAGGGCTTCGGCGATAATCACTGACACTACCCCCCGCCAACTCCAAGACCCTAAACCTGCCCCCAAGCCAACTCCCGCCCCTCAACATCTAGGGGAACCCCCAGACAAGTCCTCGAGGCTGAAGCCCTCAGTGGCTCCTGGCCCGAGGATTCCGGGAAGAATTGGACGTGTCAACCAAGGCTCTGCCTACTATGCATCATCATGTTATATCATCTTGGAACATGTTGGATTCAGAGTGACATGGACATGTCAGGCGCCTGAGGCTTTTGATGTGACTCCTCGTCTGTCAAGATTACCGGTGCTGGCCCTATTTGGGGGTTTCCGAAAATAGGGGACCCTAATATAGTACCCTAAATAGTAGGATCCTTATTATAAGGTTCCGAACTCCCATTTGTGTGTGTATCTGAATCGGAGAAACCTGCGATCATCTCCACGAAGGAGCGGCTAGTTCCAAGAACCGTCTCCATGACCAGGCGTATGAAACTACTTGCCTATTTGCCTGTTTTGCATTCTCGTGCAGTACGATGTTTGAGCGATAGAAGATGTTGCAAGCACAAAGATTTCTTCGTCCTGATTGTCCTGCAGCCTGGCTTCGTGCAAACTTGTGTTTAGGGATAGAGTTGTAAGTTTCGGATGTGCTGCAGTCATTGCTTTGATATGCCTTGCATTATGCGCTACCATGTCGTCTTATGTGCTGGCCGCAGCACAGCTTGGTGTTCGCAAACATAGTAGCGAAATCGATCGGCAAGGCTTGACTACTTCGCAACCGTGCGCTGCTGGTGCATCGTATTCGACCCGGCTTCTACAACAGAATGCCAAAAGCTTGCCAGCTTCAACCTGCTCGGGGAACGTATGCAGGCAAATGCATGGGACTATGTGACTAGATGAATTCGTTCCAACACATCAAAAATCATTCGAACCATTCGAAGGGTGAAGAGAAGCAGCAAAAACATGAGTCGGCCAACTCTCATGCCGAGTTCAAGCACACCCAGAATGATAATCCTGCTTCCTTGTCGTCCTGTGTCATGGGCTTGCGCGGGCCCTCCGTGAGAGAGCCTGGTGCAAGGCAGAAGAACACGGTCTGCAAGCTTACATCTGAAACCTGGAACACAACCACAACTCGCAACATGCCTGGTTCATTCTAGTATATGGGAGTTTCCAAACATTAGGGTACCTTATTTTGGGGTCCTTATAATAAGGGTCCTACTATTTAGGGTACTATATTAGGGTCCCCTATTTTCGGAAACTCCGATATTGCTTTAGTATATTATGGTGGGTGTCGCAGGTGTCTGGGCCTTCAGGAGGCTCCAGTCCAGCGCTGCGCTTGGCGAGCTGGGCGCAAAGCTCCTGCCAAGGGCTGTAGGGTTCAGGGTTTGTAGGGTTTAGGGTTTAGGGCTTGGGTTTAGGGTTTAGGGTTTAGGGTTCAGGGTCTCCTCTCCGTAGCCTTTATGCTGCAGGGTTTGGGAATTAGCCTTTGGTTGCATCTAAGAAGATGCCGCTAACGGAAAACTCCACAGTTGACGTGCTTGCTCTCTTGGACGCTTTCGCTGAGCTTCAAATTGCCTCCTCGGCATCTCAAGTCGCTTCGGCCCTTGTGAGAAGTGCAGTTTCTCCGTGAATCTGAATGTCGAAGACTAGATTAGATGAAACTTTATTCAGACGGCTGTCATGCAGACTGTGCGGGGCGGAGATTCATCCTCCGACTCCGGCACCTGGTTGCATGATCTCGAGATGTCGGCGTTGGTTCAGGTTAAGTCCCTTGGCTGGCACATGATTGCAAGCAGCTAAACGCCACAACACATTCCCAACAATGCAGCAAGCATCACACAGGTTGCTTGCAGGGTTGGGTGCCGGCTTGTGCATACTTCTGGGAGGAGCCCACGGTATGCTTAAAGGGCTTAAGCCAGTGCATTTAATCATTGATGTTGAGATGGTTTGCAGCGTTTCAGAATGTGGAGTACTTACATCGGGTGGGGCTTCCGGGTAAAGGCTTTACAGGAGGTCTGGATGGCATAGCATGGGCTCTGCATGCGAATCTGAGCTGCGGAGTTTCCACCTCTGCATTCCGACCTTCGTAGTTTCAATGCTCATGCTAGGCAGAGCGAGCTCCTCCATCTGCTGCCGCACCTGTATCACCTGCCAACAAGTCAGCACGATGTTCCGCTTCAGCTGGGCGCTGAAGGAATGAAGGCACTCGCAAGCCGCAAGACTACACATGTTGTAACCTGTCTTCCCTCCGGCACGAGCAGAACTGCACTGATACTTCTAGATCTGACTTTGTCACCCCCTTGCTTTCCAAACCCACCTTTGCTGTACCAATCGGACAGTCGCATGCCAAGGGCTTTCGGAGTTGGGCACTGAAATCTGAACTGAAGCCCGAAACAGTCAGCAAGCTCGGGTACCATCGCCAGCTGGCACAAAGTTTGCTGATTGCTGGTCCCAAGCGAAAGCAGTGTAAATACCAGCAGCACAAGGACACTGACGCGAACACTGTATTCAACAGGGCACTGGCCTCCTCTGCTGTCCTCGAGGATGAGACTAAGTTGGGTGGGGCGGATGATCCATAAACACAAGAGGCAGACATCTGTGACCCTCTTCCCGTGCAGCTACAGCTTTCGTGGGCAGCAGTCCAAGGCAAAGCTACCCGAAGTCCTGGCGATGCTTCCGAACACCTCAGCCTCCATACAAGAAGGCCATGCTTTGAAAGGGTCCACGACTCTGGAATGCTAGCAGCAAGAGCAGCTCCAGCAGTTCCACTCACAACGAGCGTGAGTACCGCCGCTTACAACGACCCAAAGCCCGATGCATCACACACCGAACTACCCATAGGCCCCAAAGTAGTTCCATTTGGTGGTTCATATTCAGAATCCTATAAGGTAATCCCAGAAAGGAACTACTATGGGGCCTATGGGTAGCTCTCTGGCCTCGGC